TGAAGGTGGGGAGGAGATCAACTTTGCTTTCTTCTCACATTTGGAACATTTATTGGTGGGAAGTTTCTCCTCTGCAATATGAGCTATGACAGAAAATCAAATGTGGCTGGGAAATCAAATGGCAGATTTCAACAAGGAGCTTGCCACCCACTCCTTCCATCTGCAAGAACATGTTTTGGCATTACTAAAACCTCTGCCTTCTCCTACTTAATTTGCAAGCCAACAATAAAAAAAGGTCAAAAGTGCTCATCTAACATGATTGGTTGTATTCGAAATACAGTAAAATATAAATCATTTGCAAACCTGCTTCTGCTGAAATATCAAAGATTAAAAGGCACAGGGTTACCCTATTATTGGTATAATGATCAGCATCCTGAAGGATGGGTAAGTACACAGCAGTTTGGTTTAGTTGACAGCACTCGCACCCTGAGCTCAGAAGATTGTGGGTTCAAGTCCCTTGTCGGGACTTCAGTGCACTACTAAGTGAGAGATGCCAACCTTTAGAAAAGAACTCTGGGACGCTATGCCATGTGAAGGGCGCTATATAAATGCAAGTTGTTGTCGAGAACACAGTAAAGTCAGTCTATTAATGATTATAGGACTCTATTAAATAAAAGAAGGGAAATTTCTCTGGAGTCTTGGGCATCATTCCTCCAGATAAAATTGGTCATTCACTTTGTGAGATTTATGTGCAAAATAGCTGTACGATACTAGACTTGTCAGCAATTCCTAGTGAAGTGCTTTGAGATGTTTCAAATTTATAAGTGCTATTTGAAAAAATAGTAAACTTTACATTTGATGTCGTGCTTTTCAGTTTGGCAAGTCTTCTCAAAATGCTCACAGGATATATCATAAAGTGTAGTGGGCGATATTTTGTAGGCAAATGCAAAGATTATTTAAACAGATTTTGTATTAAGAAATGTGCAACTGTTGAATTGTCAAAATATCAAATGTGTTGAAGAATACGTTGCTTGAGGATTGGTTGCATTCTTGAGCATCTTTAATCTATTAAGAAATGGACAACTGCACCTTTCTTGTTAAGAAATTCCTCAAATTAGAGCCCTATTTGCCAGAACTTTATTTTTATTGCAAAAATTAACTTTTTTGCATTTGATATCTTGCATTAGGTTGCATGTCTGGCATTTTAATGTCCATCACCTCATTGTTTTCATCAAAGGATTTAAAAATTGTTCCCTATCCCACAAACAAAGCACCATCCCTTTTTAGTAGCACCTGTGGTTGCGTCACCTCCCAATTATCCCTTCTCTCCCCTCCCACCTTCCCCGTCCCTGCTGAGATTGAAAATTCACGATGTGTCTAATCGCTCGAACCATGTCACAGGTGGCTTAATGGAACAACACTTTATTAAAGCAATGCAAAGAATCTTTACATGAGTGGAAATTCAGTCATCTTGAAGTAAATAAAGCAGGAGTTCCTGCTGGTCTTTTTTTTAAAAAACAAGAAAACCAAATTATGTATATACTTTTGAGCAGGTGCTAATCCAGCTGCGTAAGGAACATGTACAGTTTAGTGATTCAGTATGGTGCTTTGCTCATGGTTCAATTAGCATTCATGTTTTAAAGATTAAAAATAGGTCGGAGCCTCCCTCATTACTACTTTCCCAAAATAATACTAATGAAACATTGCCATCCATCAGTACGTTTTATGACAGTAACACCTGTTAAACAACTAGTTAACTTTTATTGCCTTATTAATGCATTGTGGAATCTGCTCCACCAAGCACCAGATCTTAAACATTGTTGTAGGATTGGAGAATTTACAATGTCTTAGTCTCCTGTCTTGTCCCTTATAGACATAAAAGAATTTAACTTGTGTGTAAGTGCATGAAGGAGACAGTAACTCTAGAGATCAGGACTTATGGACCAGATCAGTTTAAGTTTTACAGCTTTCTAGCTTTTGCATTTACAGGTCTCCCCCAGGAGCTCTTTATATTTCCATCTACTGAAGCATAGACTGAAGCAAACAGCTGGAAGGTCATAGAGAAAAGGCATCTGATCAGAATCATCTTGGTGTTGATATGCTCGGTCTCTTTAGAAACAATTTGCGGGCTGCTTGTGGCTCCTTTTCCCCACCTCAATGTATCCTGAATATAAGCTAAAAACAATGAGATTAAGCACACTGACATCAATGATTCTGTGCGGACTGGCTGAGAAATTTCCACTAAATTACGTTTCCTCCTGGTTGTCCATTTCACTCTGTGCTGCAGAAGATAAGTGTATAAACTATTTCGCAGAGACCTCTTAGAAGTACAACTAGTTTCAAAAGGTGTGAAACTAAAATGGGTAAAGAGATCCATAATCATTTTCACAGTAGTATTTATTCGTAGAGTCCCTTTCTCATGAAATTGAAGATCAGAATTTAGAAGAATGATCTTCAATTTTTAATATATAAGTGTCTAATAATACTAATAAGAAATCTTTAAAATACCTGATCCAAATGCCAGAGAAGACTGCAGCCAGGGCATATTTCAATTCATCAGAATAAGATGCAGGTTGATTTTGATGAATTTTCAACACTAACAGCCAAACAATTATTTCAAGAAAGCAGTAAGTTTACTGGTGCCTCACTACCAGAAGTGCCTCAGGAGACAAATTGCATTTTCTGAAGACAAACTCATGTCACACAGACTTCTCTTCTGAGGAAATTCGGGTCGGAGTCAGCCTCTGATTTAATATTAATCTTGTTTGATCCAAAATATCTGAATGAATGTCAGAAATTGAAAGCTAGTGTCTCATAGATCAGAACTTGTGTTCGTATTAAGCCGCTGGGAAATGTATTTTACCTCGATGTACTATACTGCTGGGCTGTCTTTGGCATCCTCCTTCAGGGCAAGTACATCATTTTCAGCTGAACGTCTCTAAGTGCTTCACAAATAGTTACTGTCAAGTATGGCAGTTGTTTTGGCAGTAGCCATTACACCATGAGATGAATCGCCAGTTAACATAGGGGAATGTTGGCCAAGATAGCAGGAGAAACTCCTTTTTCTTTTTGAATAGTTATATAGTGATACAGCATGGAAACAGGCCATTTGACCCAAAGAGTCTCTGCTGGTGTTAATAGTTTGCAAGCCTCTAGCCCTCCCATTCCCCTCAATTGCACCTCCATCTATTCTTTGTCCCTCATATATGCATCATGGTTTCTATTAAATATGTAATAGTATCATGGGATATTTAATGTTCACTTAAGCAGGCAGATGGGACCTCATTTTAACATCTCTCCTAAAGGTCAGCACCTTTGATAATGAAGCACTCCCCTAGTACTACACGAGATTGTCAGCCTGGACTAAGAATCTCAAGTTCCAACTTGGGGCTTGAACCTTAACACCTAGAGGTAGGAGTGCTGCTAACTCAGCCAAGCTTATAATAATTCTCAATAAAAAGCACAGGTGTGTTAGTAAGTGGCAACTCCCAGCACTCTAATACATCAACCATAACCACCAATTTGTCCCACTCCCAGTGTCATTTTGTACTTCCTGTCTTTATCTCATTGGCTCTTTCTTACTTGCCTTTTACTTATTAAATGGATATCCTACGAAGCTAACAAATGAAGAGGTGAATGGAAGTTTTATATCATACTGTATAAGGAGAGGACATTCGTAGCTAATAAGTTAATGAAAATTGGGTGTTTAGGGCAGGAGTGTCACTGGGACTTGTGTAATAGATGCTTAGGGACTGTATTTCTGATTCTACCTTATCAGATTGCATTGGCTGCAATAACTCTGTCATTTAGATGAAATGATTTAAATTGATCAAAACTTCTCATGGGGAAAGCACTGAAACTTCAGAGTTTTGATTCTGTTATCCAGGATTTTGATTCTATTAACTTCTTATTAGAGATAGCATAGCACCCAGAGTGTCACATTGATGTGTCATAGGGAAATTGTGACTGAAAGAGCGATGGCTGTGATTCTCAGATCTCTGCTGTATTTAGTGACATTGTCTGGGGGCCAGTAAACTTAGTTACCAGTGGAGAATTGCCACTTCAGTGAGTCACCAGCTAAGCACATACAGCATTGCTGGTGTCTCAGCCTGTAAATCAGAGGCACTAACTCACAGTGGGAAGATGTTGCAGTTTGTATGTGAATTTAACTTATGACCACGTGTCAATAGTTTGAGCAATTTATGGAATTATTTGCTTCAGAATTTACAAATACACAGTATTCACTGAACATTAATTCTTACATTTATGAGGGTATGTGATATCCTGAAGTTTACACTCAGTTGCCTTTGGGGATATGAAAAAACTATATTGTTCTGTAAAGTAAAGCAAAGCGACAGCCAGCAGCTTAGAATAGAGAGAAGCAGGGATATCTTGAAAGGGACTTTTAATATATGATGTTATATTTGTGTATAACTCAAATGGTGCATTCTTTATCTGATGAGGCAACTGTTTATGAGTGGGTCCCAAGTCTGAAGTTGCTGCATTCCACAAACTTCTGAAAATATGGTATTCATGGGCACGTTATATGAAAGACAATTAAAGTCTTGTATTTATGCTTTTCACAGTGTTTGTAGTGTCACAGAAGAAAGAACTTTAATTTGTTTTAGGATCTATTGATATCAATCTCTCAAGGTACTTTACCATAACAGAAATGACTGTGAAATGTATTGAACCTATATGTATCAGAGAGTTCACCGATGGCACAATCGTCCCACAATATTACTTAATAGAAAGTTTTCGTGCAATATTGTTTTAATTGGGTTCAGAATATAATATTCGCAAACCGGAAATGTTGTGTTAACTGCAACTTCTTGCCAATGTGCGGAGCTGTCTGAAAGCATAATAGTTGGGGGTCTATAAATCCCAACCAAAGTTATAATGGGTCACGATCACTGATTAGCAGTGCGCATGCAGAAAGGCGGCCAGCCTCCCACACTAAGAAATGGCTGACTTCCGAGACTTTTCCCCCTTTCCCATTACTGTCACTGTGTGTGCTCAGCAGACAACAATGGAATGACATTTTGTCTTTTTGATTTCAGGCCCTCCAGGAAAACGAGGCAGAAGGGGAAGAAATGGTGAACCCGGTAAGTTTCATCTTTAGTTGCAAATGTCACATTTTGTCCCACATGGATGTTTAGTCATTAAAGTAAAAAGGCAGTCACAGGTGAATGGTTCTTATTAAAACACTGCTTAGGCCTCAGCGAGAGTACTGTGTTCAGTTCTGGGCACTACACAATGTCAGAATGTCAAGGCATTGGAGAGGGTGCAAAAGAGATTTACCAGGATGGTAACAGGAAGGAGCTACTTGAGTTATCAGGAGAGGCTGGAGAAGCTAGGATTATTCTTCTTGGAGCAGAGAAGGTTATGAGGAGAATTAATATAAGTTTTCAAAATTATGAGGGGATTCGATAGGGTGAACAAGCAGAAACTATTTCCACTATTTCCAGGCAGGTGGGTCGGTAACCCGAGGACACCGGTTTAAAATAGTTGTTAAAAGAAACAGAGGGGAGGTGAGGTGAAATTTTTTCACACAATGAGTTGTTGGGATCTGGAATGCATGGCCTGAAAAGGTGGTGGAAGCTGATTCGATAACAACTTTTAAGGGAGATGTAGATAATTATTTTGGGAGGACAAGTTTGCATAGCTATGGGGAGAGAACAGGGGAGTGGGATTGATTTGGATAGCTCTTTTAAAAGACACAATGGGCCGAATGGCTTCCTTCTGTGCTGTATAATTCTATGATTCTATGATTGTTTTTGTACTGATGTAACAGCAGCATTGCAACATGTCTTAGTTCACTGGATTTCTATTAATAGTAGTATTGCTCCAATAATTGGGTTAAACATCTGTAATCCTTGGCATTAAACTTTGGCTTTTGGCTTTTCTGCTCAGTATTCTGCACACTTCAAGCAGAGGAAGGAAATGGAGGGAAGGAGAAAGGAGTAGAGAGCATTAATAAAGTCCACCTGTAAATTTCTCATCATTTGTAATGTTTAAAAACAAACAAGAATTGCATTTATTTTAAAAGTCCATAAAATAAATGGCAATCAAAAAAGGTAAACAACAAAGATTAAACACCAGAAAGAAGTTTTGCATGATAAATCTAGAGACAGATATGGGCAGGATTCTTTGGAGAGGTGATTACTGCACTATTCTCCTCAGATCTCTAAGGCAGGCTGGAGATTGTTGTCCTGAATGGCTCCATTTGTTTTTGGTCAGATGGTTATTTGATACACATGGAAACCATTGCCATGCTTAAGAGTCTGAACCAAACTGCTGAGAGTTTTATACAAGTATGAATTCTGTTTGTCTGGTACAGAGCCCATACTTTCAGTCTATCTGCCCCCACTCTCTGGAACTCTATTATGGAGTCCCTCTGACTCACTCCTACACTCACCTCTTTCAAGGTCTGTCTCAAAACATTCTTCTTTAACTGCGCTAACGGTCATTGTTTCCCCCACTTCCCTCGGCCCCCAAGCCAGGACTGTCAAGTGCCTTGGGACATCCTCCGATGTCTATATAAATGTATAATTGTATTGTACTTTCTCCCCTCAGAGGGTTGCACCCCGGAGGAGGAGTTTAGGTACAAGTTGGCAAGAGCTAAATCTTGGTTACTTCAAAGTGTAAATTGGGATACTGCTGGTGTTCAGACAACTAGAATGATTGCAGCCTACCAATTAGTTTTAGCTTGTAGGATTAGAGCTTCCAGAGCTAAGTGGGAAGAATCCCTGCCCCCAGATACTGATCTGTTTCTCCGAGTCCTGAAGACAAGCCAGGGCGACTTGTGTATCATCAACAATGCCTTGGAGTATTATGGACCTGGTAACTATTAGACAACTAAACCACCAAAAGCGGATCACTTTTGATTCAGATCTTCCATTGCCGGGTATGTGTTCTTGAAAACAGCTCAACACCAAAGGGATCTGCTTTCTTTCCCCCACGTCCCCCTTCTGTAAGAGGATACACTAGTCCATCATTAGATATCTGACAACAACAACTTACATTTATATAGTGCTGTTCACATGGGATAGTGTCCCACAATTCAGAAGTTGTGAGATATTGAGCTCACAAATCAGACAACTACAGAATTACTACACTTGACAGCAATTACCTGTGAAAGATTTTGATATTTATAGGCTCAATATCAAATGAAAAGATGATTATTATTATAGGGAAACATTAGTATATATGTTCAAAAATAAAGGATTATTTTTTACATTGTAAGGCACTGTCCACCTCGTATGATAGAGGCGATGTGCACCTGTGGTGTGATGCATACTCGAGTTATTGTACATTGTGATCTTTTTCTGCAACTAATCCATTCTGTTTTTGTTATGCATAAGGGGTCCAATTTTGGCGATATTCTGAAAACAGCTAATTGTGATTTCTGAAAGCTGCCAAACTGAGGGAAGAAACCTCGGGACGTTTGTCGAGAGATGGCGTTTTACTCTTTGATGGATTTCAGAAATTACACTGTTTTGGGAATATTGGAGATTAGACAGCAAATTGGAAGTCAGAATTAGAACTACCCGCCCTTTTACAAATATGGCAAATTAGACCCCAATGAATACATTTTGAAAGTTGAACTCAGGTCTGACCTCTTTACCAATTAGCATTTTCAGGCGGAGAAATATTTTACTCCATATATCTTTGAGAAACGTTTCTCTTTAATTTGTCAGATGAGCTTGCTTGCCAGCGTTGTAAATCACCTTAACCCCAACACTCAGGGGGAGGAGGTCAAGATTTCTGATGCGTCAACTCTTTTTATGTGTCTGTTTCTGCAAAGTTTTATGGAGGTCACTTGTCAGTCCTAAGTGGAGTGCTTCTCTTTATGAAGTCAAATAATGAGGGCTTAGGGTTAACTTTTTACATGTTAGGAGACTAAAGTGACATGTTGCAGCAAGGCAGTAAAATTTCATTTATCCGAATCCTTCTCATTTAAAAATCCTTATTTTCCCAAATACCTCTATGTTTCATTCTGTTTAAGTCTTCTCTCACTTTCGCTCCAGAAGCTCAGTGAAATTAATGAAGCTTTATATGATCTAAACTAAAGTGGAATGGAATGCTGCAGACCCATTTTAGGAAGTTTTGGAGGAACGATTTAAAAGTTTGTAAATATATGGATAAATGAAGGTCAGCAATGGTTGGCCCACACTATAAAAGCTAAGCCACTCTTTGACACATGTGTTTCTCAGTGTCAACTTCTACACATGTTCGTTGTAAACCACAAACATTATATTTCCCCCTCAAGAAGGATTGAAAGACAAACCAGCTGTTGTGCTGATGGGAAAACCATAATCAATATGTTTAATAAATGACATAAAGCTTCCATGTGGTACACAGAGGAGCAGCTTTTGTTTAGCCTCTTCTTTAAATACTAACAGGTTCAGCCAATCGCTCTCTCTGCAAAACCAAAAGCAGGACAAAATGGGTGAGCATTTCAGGGTCACCTTTCTCTGCAAGAGCATAAATAACCTGCACAGCTCTATACAAGAAAGACACATTATTAGCAGACATAATTACTGAACCACAAATCCTGAATCCTCAGCCTTCAGATACCAACTATGTTTTTACTCCCGCACTTTCATTAAAAGAATAATACAGGTCAGCTATTTTCTTAATGTAATTTTGGGCTCTATGCTTGTTCTCTCTGTAAAGCAAGCTGTGCTTTACAAATTCAAGGAACATATAAGGGAAACATAAGCTCCCTTGAAACAAAGCAGGCTTCAAAGAGGGATGAGCTTTTCACACAAAAAGGCAATAAAAATGCTTTTCTTCTAAGTCAACAATCTACTTCATTTCAAAAATTTCTAAATGGAGAAATACACGTGTGGCATTGCAACAGGAGGCACATTCAACAGCAACGGCATCTCACTTCATATTGATTGTGACGTGCGTTCCGATGATAAATGGATCGGGATAAGCCTGGTGTGCTGCTGAAATACAACACTGACCCCTGTGCCCTGTGGCTGCGTGTTTGAAGACAAGCATAGCTCAAGTTCAGCATCGTGGGTTCCAGGGTTTACAGACTGTGTGCTGGATGCTCGATGACGTTGGTTGGTATGGCATCTGCGGGGTTTGTACAACACCCTGTGCTAGATTGTAGATGGCTGCAGCTAACGACAAGGACTCTGAAGTGACAGGTGGTTGGGCGGGAGCCTTGACCTGCCTCAAAATCAGGGAGGATTAGATGGAGGATGAAGAGTGCATGGCTGGATGCCTGAGAATAGTACCTCATTTACCAATGGAAGTAAACCAAAGGCCATATACATAAAGGCCAGAAACCAGTAAGACTCTCAATAAAGCAGCTCTTCATTCTTTCAATGGCCTTCTGAGACTTTTAATTAGTATAAATGTTTCAGCAAAACAATTTGAGATCTCATGAAGTGAAAAGTAGCTCTTGTTGACATAAAGGAGTGGAATTTATCTATCAAGTGGCTGGAGAAATAATTCCGTTAGACTGTGTCTTCAGTTGAGGTCATCACTCATGACATCTACTCAAGACCCTACCATTAAGATATGTTCATTGTGCTAACATTGAGATGTGTGTCATAAATGGGGACTCAAAGGGTCAGGGGTGATAAGGACATTGGGTTGAAAAAGATCTTGTTAAGATTGAGTAAACATATATGGGGTTCTTTGGAGGAGACACACCTTAAATCCAAGATATGTTTTCAATGCAAGGTACCATCTAGTAACATAGGAAAACAGGGTGAGGCCATGCAGCCAATTGAGCCTGTGCCACCAGTTTATTAGATCTTGTCACATCTTTTAATCCCAATAATCCATCCTTTAGTCATCCACCTTAATATCTTTAATTCCAAAATACCTGTTTGTCTCTCTATTAAATATCCCTATTGATTCAGTCTCTACAGGTTTCTGGGACAGAGCATTCACATCTCCATCATTCTATGTGTAAAGAAATGCTTTTTGACCTCATTTTGAACCATTTTGGTTCTGATTTTAAGGCTATGCCCCCTTGTAATGGGAAGTGTCATCCACTTAACTTGCTATTTCCCTGAGAAATGATTTTCCACTCTACTGTAGAACAAATGGACTGCAATGGTCTTTTACTGTCCCTATA